GAGAAAGACCCCTGTTGCATGGAAATGTAGACTCTGCTTCTCTGAGCATGCAGCTCCTCCAGCCCCAGCTGGCCAGGGCTTTCTCGTTAACCATTTCATGCCCCAAACATGTAGGCTATAAAAACAAAATGGTAAAATCTGATACAAATGAGTAAAAAAAAAATCCCAGACATATGCTTTTAGGGCTGCAAGAGGGCTTGGAAATCATCTAATTTAGCTCTCACATTTTATTCTTGGGAATACTGAAGACGGAAGAGGTTAAGCGATTCCTTATTACCATTTTCTTTGCAGTTTCTAACCGCCTTAAAAAGTTAATCTGAATTTTTTTTTTCAGTGCATCACTACTAATCTTTATTTTCCAACCTTTCTTATACTTCATGATCCCCTCTTTAAGCTTAAAATATTAATAATAAGTTCCCTTTAGTGCAGGGTTTGGGGATGTTTCATCTGAAAGTGGTAATAGATGTTGTTTTTAAAATATTGGGCTCTGTGTGTCTATTTTCACAGTAGCACAGGTTGAGAGTGTTAAATAGGTTTTAATTTTTTGTACATTTTTAAAATTTTGTTTTGTTTTTACCCCAAAAGGCAATTACATATTTTCTGATACAAATTGAAAGTAGCTGTGTTCTGTTCTAAGATTTTTTCCTTACATTAAAATATATGTATTTTATTATACAGATTGTCTGGATTTGTTTATAAGAAGACTTCCATTTTGAAAATTTATACCTCTCATTAACTACTAAAAATTTTCTATTACTATTTGAGAATTTTGGAGATCTTGCAGCTTGGATGTATTTATCTATTAGTTTACCTGAAGAGCTCATGAAGGGTTTCAGTGTGGATTATCTAGGATATCTAATTTTATTTTTTATGCCTTCTTATGTTTCACTTTGACCATGAAGTTATTAGGAAAGAATACTAAGTAAAATAAACCCTTTGAGTATTTCTGAGGCATCTATAAATAAATTAAGGGTTAGATACTATAATTTCTTTATATATTTATCTACAGAAGAATACATATCCATATTTGGATTTACTACAGTACATCTATTCATTTATTTATTTTAAAACCTTATTGTGGCCAGAACACTTAACATGAAGGAGAGCTACTTGACAAATTTTCAAGTGTACACTACATTACTGTTGACTATAGCTATAACAGAATCGAATCAATTTCCTGTATTATTCAGTAAAGTATATTCACTTGGAAAAGATTTCTTAATGTGTATTTTGCTTTATTTTTCTGAGAAGCATATAAATTCTTGTTTGAATATTTCCTTTTTAGCCTATTAAACTTTTCTTGTCCATTTATTTTTTATTTGTATGTATTCGTGAGATACAAGTGCAATTTGCTACCTTGATATATTGCACTGCGGTGAGGTCAGGACCTTCAGTGCATCCTTCACTGAAGCAATGAACATTGTACCCACCAAGTAGCAACCTTAGAAAATCATTTCTTACCCTTAAAAACAAAAAAATCCTTCTCAAAGCTGTGTTAATCTATTTGAAAAGTCTGATTAAACTTACCAAAATAAATTTTACATACTACAGTATATAAAGATATAAAGTATATGTCAGTGCCTGGCATAAAATAGGCACTCAATTATTTTTAGTTCCCTGTACCCACTAAAAGTACATGTTTTGACTCTCCATATAACGTAATGCCAAAAATTCTGCAATGTAAGTGATAGCCAAACTGCAATTACGCTTCCATGATCTGTTAGAAATTTTCTTGGATAAATGAGCAAAAAGGAAATCAAAATAAGCTTTAAGTGTTATGAAACCTTTCAACCCAGCTACACGCCAACTTTTCCTGCTCATTTCCTTCTGTCTCTCTTCTGCGCCCTCTACCGACAGCAAGACTGTATTGAATTAGCAAATTTAACTGATTTGAACAAAAGATCACAATTCTTCCCAGCCTGTGATCGAAAGTCATAAGTCACAAATTACCACTTTAAAAAAATCACCAGGAAAACCTAGTCATGATATAAAAAAATAAGATAATATGGATAGACATAAGTAAAAAATAAAAATCACATGTTAACTCCACCTTCAATAGAACAATCAACATTTGCTGAATCATCCTTCTATTTTGGCTACATAACATGTGCATTATTTTTCTTATAAAAATAGGATCATTTTGTATATACTTTTTTATAAACTTGTTCTATTATCACTAACCATACCTAGCAAACTCTTTCCATGTCAATAAATGAATCATCAGAAATGACTATGTGGCGATTCATTGCAAGGATGTCCCATAATATCTTCATGGGTTCACACTAGGTCTGCTTCCAGCTTTTCCTGTTGCTGTTTTGTTTTTTTTAAAATTTTTTCTCATGTCCCATCTTCTTTATGAATATATATTAGAAGCTAGAGCCAACACTGATAATATTCAATAACTAATATTGGGGGCTAAAATGATACACTAGTACTCAGATCTTAATATGCATACTGCATTGTCAAATATTTCTCCTGTCCTTTTCCAGTTCCTGCACTGCTTATATCCTTTTCTACTAAATTGCATTAAAATAAACAGTATTTATCATAAAGAATGAACATATTTTTAAATATTTGAATTTCTTTCTCAATAAGATTCAAGAAGATATTTCACTTCCAAAATGAGAGTTGACAGTCATGAAAAAGGAAAAATACGAATATATGAAAATAATAAGAGAAAAAGATAAGAAATGAGTCCTAATCCAAGTGATTTAATCTATAGAAGTAGGAGTCCAGAGAAGGAAATGGAATGAGAGAATAAGCAAAAATGAAAGCACCAGAAGAAGAAAATTTTGAGCTAAAGAAATATTTGGCTTCGATGCCTAAAACGATTCACTTAAAAGAAATGAAAAAACCCCACATGCCTAGGTATATATCCAGGCAAAAATCTTAAATAGACAAATAAAACTTCTCTAAGAATGGAGGCTTTTAAAACAAAACAAGTCATGTATTCTAGAGAGGAACAGAAATCAAACATTCTCCCCAAAGCCAAATGCCAAGCAGCCAATGTTTACAGAGTTTTGAGCATGGATACAAATTAAGAACTCATGAATAGTGAAGACATAGTTTAAAGGTATTCAAAGTGAGCAATAAAATGCTTTAAAAACATTTTACAAATGTAAAAACAACTTTTGAAAGAGAAGATGCATGTTTTAAAACATAATAATCATGATGATAATTCAGATTTTGAGTCCAACACCCAGGAGATGGTAGTATAAACTCACTACATTTTTTTTACACAGGGAAAGTCAACAATAATATTTTTTCTTGATTCTAATACACATGATACGTGTATTCAAAAACCTAAAGGTAACCATTAATAAGAGTTTCTCTTCTTTTACAATTTCTTTTCTTCACTTATACTTTTCTTTATTTTGAAGGACAGACATATAGGATGTATGTTTTCTGTTTTACTTATCTATTGCTGTGTAATAAACCACCCCAAATCTTAGTGGCTTGAAAGAACAACAGTTATTTATTTTGCCTGTGAATCTGTAATTCAGCCTGGGCTGGGTAGGGGTGGCTCATCTCTGCTCCAGGCAGGGTCAGCTGGAGCAGCTCAGCAGGGTTTGGAGGGGGTGGGCTGGAGCATGCACTTTCAAAATGGCTCCCTTCTATGGCCGGCAAGTTGTTGCTAACTGCCGTTGGGGAGCTCATAAGGCAACAAAGGAACAAAGACCTTTATAAATATAATCGGTTAGAAGCTATGTTCATTGCTTCACGTCTGTAGATCCTACATCCATAATCGGTGACCTAAACATGAGAAAGTGGTCTCTGGAGTTCCCAGAACTGACTTCGAACTCTAACTCTGCCTTTGACCTACTTATGTGACCTTGGACAAGTTACTTCACTTCTCTAAAGCTTAGTTTCTTCTGTTAAATCTGGAGATTATAATAGAACTGATTTCACAGAGGCACTGCGGGAATTAAATGAAAAAACTTAGCAGAGTTTCTGGTTCATAATGAGTACTCAACAATCTTAAACTATTATTAATTTACTGTTGCAAGTTATTTTGTAGGCTTTGGAGACCGGCAATAGCATCCTCACACTCTTTTCTTCATTGATGTAGAAATATGCATTTTACATTCAAGAGTACAAGTTTTTATACCTAAAACATTAACAATAATTCTATAATATTACCTGAAGACAGTGTATATACAAATATCCCCAATTATCCCAGAAATGGCTTTTAATGGATTTTTCCTAATCCATGATTCAATTAATATTAATATTTATGCACCACATGTACTTGCTATTGCTCTTGAATCAGAATAGTTTCTTTCATATTGACTTTTTAAAAATTTCAGGCTAGTTATTTTGAGCAGCTTTCCACTTTTTGAATTTGATTGTTTGGATGATATTGTAAACTTCTCAATGTGTCACTTTAGGAAGGCTGTAATGTCAGTTGTCCCTCTATTTGTGATACTGTTGATCTCTTGGTTAAAGTGGCAACCACCAGCTCTTTCCACTATAAAGTTACAACTTCCTGTCTGTAGGTAGGTAAGTAATCTATGGGTGACACTTTGAGATCAGGTGAATAGAATCTTTATAACAGATTCTTTGAAGATATTTGAAAATACTCCACAGCACTAATGATTTATTATGAAGTTGATTTTTCAAGGAATGAGTTTTTAGTTTCAATAAATGTAGTTTTTACAAAGAAGAGATAACTTATAAGGCATTATAAAAGCAGTGTCTCTATGTCTCTAATCTTTTGTGCATTTAGTCTAGGAAAATCTCACATCCCTCCTTCCACCTCTATAAAACAAAACAGAACCAGCAATAAATTGAAGAAAGCAACAACTTATCTTTGCTGTGTTTAAGCAACCTGCCAAATGCGATTGTTTCCCTTGTTGGAAATTGGCATAAATGTGGAATTTGCTGTCAACTTTCTTTCAAGTACAGAAAGAAAAACACTTCAACGTAGTTATGCAAAACAAGCAGATATTTTTATTGAATATTTACTTTGATAGACACTGTGAAAATTATTCTATGTCCAATCACCCTCCTCAACTCTAACTGGTAGGACTATTCTTGACTCATTTCACAGATTAGGAAACATAGGTTTCCAGAGTATATTGGCACCTATATGGCTGTTAACATATTTTTTATATTTAAATAGCCTCCTCTATTCAAAGCCAAGTAAAGTCCGACGGTGGGAAATATAGTAATACCCAAGAGACTTCAAAGGAATAAAAAGATCTTGAGTTGTGCAAAGATCTAAATTATGCAAGCTGCAGAAATCCTAGGTGGATATTATGATATCTTTCAGATCATTTTCTATCCTCCATGGTGGTAAACAACCTTGTAGATCCATATGGTAGGTTTCTTACCCGTTTTGTTGTCCTGGACTCATTTGGCCTTCTGATGAGTCCAATGACTTTCTTCTCAGAATAATGTTTTAAAATGCATAATGGAAAGAAGAGCAATGACACTGAAATACAGTTCTAGCATCTGAACCTAGGAGTTTCAAGCATTTCTGCTCTGCCCTCCTCTCTTCCCCGAGTCTACCAGGCAGATGTTCTCTCCCTTCTTCCGAAAGATAAGGAAGAGACATCCAAGCAGGTTTGTAGGTTACGTGGGTGGGAAGGAGTATGGGATGGGCTACTGAGGAGGTGTTTCTGAGGTGACATCAATGTCTTCCTTCCTCTTCCTTTCCTCTTCCCTCTAGAATCTCCTCATTTCTTTTAGCTTCTCCTTCCTTCTCCAGATCAAGTCCAATTTTTCTCCTTTTACATCGTTTTTTTTTAAATTCTAGGCCCCGCCCACTCTTCTAGACACGCCCCATCCAGGGCCCCGCCTCCCTATAGGCCCCACCTCCTGCCGTAGTCCCGCCTTCTCCTCAGTTCTCTGCCAATCACACTGTGGCCGCCGTGTCGCCACGCCCCGGAGCGCACACCGAGCGGGCCCGCGGCCTGCGCTCCGGGCGGAGGATCCCGGGCTGCGGAGTATGGAGCCGGCGGCGGGCGGCTTCTCGGAGGAGCAGTTCCGGGAGGCCTGCGCAGAGCTCCAGCAGCCCGCGCTGGCCGGGGCCGACTGGCAGCTGCTGGTGGAGACCCTGGGCATCAGCATCTACCGGCTGCTGGACCAGGTAGCGGCGGGCGCGCTGGAGGACCGCGGGGGCAGGAGCGCGCCGGGGCCGCCTTCCCGCGGGGCGTGCGGGACCGTCGCGGCGGAAGGGACTGGGGCGGGTCTTCTCGAGCGCGGGGAGGAGCTCCGCCCGGGCCGGGCGCCGGCTCTGGAGCGAGCGCAGGGGCGGTGCCTCCGAGTGGCTTTGCCTCTGGGCAGATCCTGGGGAGTTGGAAGGTCATCCGAGTTCAGCCTCAGGTCAGCCACGAACTGGGGAAGTAGTTTCTTAGAAGTTAATGACAGAGTGAAAACGTGGGTCGGCTGATTCCTAGGCCCATGCAAGGGACAAGGATCCCCTCTCCCTAATGGGCGCCAGTGGTGTATGGGGCCGGGGGAGGGGTGGTGTCCTAAGGCTTGGATATAGTGGGAAAGAAACAGGACTATTAGGGGACTGGAGATGCAGGGTAGCCAATGTGGGGTGCCGAGAAGGGACCTATTATTTACTGACTTCCTTCTTTTGGCGGATGCCTCTTTCTTCTAAGTTGCACTTGACAGCTTGAGTCTGAAGCTTCAGGCAAAAAGATCAAAGATGTAGGAGGAATAGAGATGGTTATTAAGCAATTCTCGGGACCTTACTGGAGGCGTTTGGAACCAGGTCGCCATCCAGGTGGAAGGTATTGCCTCTGAGACCTGTCATACAAAGCTCATGGTCATTTGCATTGTTCAATAGTGGCAGCCTGGCAAGTAGGTTAAAAGTCACCTGCAGGTAGTGTGTAGGTGAAATCAAAGTTTCTTGGCATTGGACCAGAAAATTATAATGTTAGAGCTGGGAGGAGCCCTGATGCTCACCTGGTTCAGCCCTAGTTTTCATAGATGGAAGAAACAGGCTGGGAGGGGTGAAACCACTCTCTAAAGAGGCCCAGCTAAGTTAAGGGCAGGGTGGGGTTGGAGGGTTCATGATCTTGTAAATGTTAAATGTGGGGTTGCTTTTTGAAGCAACTGCGTTTTAGTTTATATCAACTATAGTGTCTCTATATTTTAAAACAGAAAAGTAACATTCCCAATAGTTAGAATTTGCTCATCTGTAAAACAGGAATGAAAACCCTGGCCTGCCTCCTCACAGGGTTATTAGGAGGTTCAAATCAAGTTTTTCAGATGTGTGTGAAAATCTGAGAAAGCTGTATGTAACTCTGCAATGCACAGGACAGGCCTTTGCTAGAAAGAATTATCCTGTCCCAAATTACGATATTGCCAAGGTTGAGAAACCCTACCTTAAATAAATGGAGAATATTGGTGTTATGAAGTAATTTCCTCTCTAAATACATACATATTTGCTTTGGAGATAGTCCACCCCTCTCCCAGTTACTGGGACTGTGGAATATGCTACTTTGAATATTTACAAATTCGTAGGGCAGGCCCTTTTATTATAATCCAGAACAGAGCAGACGTTGAAACCTCCATATTTACTTTTTTCTGCATCAAGTTGTTCTGTTTTGGTGGCAACTACTCACTCAGCAAACTCTGAATGCCTACTGTGTACCAGGACCATTGGGTATAACAAGATGACCAAGAAGCTCATATTCTAGGCCTGGTGCCTGTAACTTTAACAGGTACCCTGGTTTGGAAATGGATATATTTTCAGGCAAAATCCTTTTATCTTCTTTCTGACTATCCCATTTTCCTTACCAGCCACATCAAGGCATTGGCCAAGCTTTATTGATTCTACTACTCAGACATATCTGGCCTCTAGCCCATTTTCTTCTTTATCTTTCCATGGCCACATTGGGTGCCCAGCACCTCTCACCTAGAACTGCAGAGCCTTCTTGACAGTTTCTTGATGGCCTTATACGTCTCTGCTCCCCTCTGTCCTATATGGCACAGCCCAATCAAGTATCTGAGAGGCTGTGATCTTATCACAACCCTTTCAGTGGCACTATTGATTGCAGAATTAGTAACAATAATCATTGTAATAGCTAATACTTATTACATGCTTTCTTATAATCCAGGCACTAAGTGCTTTGTAGGAGTTGATTTACTGAATCCTTGTATCAACCCTGTGATAAGGTACTATCACCTTTTTACCTATATGGAAATGGATGCATGCAGAGGTTAAGTTGGTTGCTTAATATTTGAAGTAAGATCAGAGTCCAGCTGTCTGGCTCCAGACCTCTGCTTTAAACATGCTCTTGCATTGCCTCTCTGAACAGAAGGCAAATGCTACCTGGTGGTTACACTGAGCCAGTTTGGTTTCAACTCACATTTCCATCCTTATCTCCCATGACTTGTCCGTACACCTCACTTCTTCTCCAGACAACTCAGACTTCTCTACTCCTTCATGGACCTGTGCCATCATCCCTTTATACAGACAAGGAAATTGAGGTCCGGGGAGCGCAAATTGCATAGGCAATGCTCGTGGCTAAGAAGCAGTGAAACAGGGATTTAGACCGAAGTTGTCGGATGTACAAAGCCCGAACTCTTTCCCCTGTGCCACACACACTCTTTCTCTATAAAGCTTCCTAAATGTGAAATGTCCCATCACATTTCAACATGGCCGCCATGCTTCAATCATGCTACTGTGACATCTTAGGAGGTACAGTGCTGTGTTGGAGAAAAAACTCAAACTGTGTTTTTTTTTTTTTTTGCTGTTGTTTTTTTAATTCTCGCACCGTCATCAACACAGAAGACTTCTGTGATCAAATGTGTGGTGGTTTCTCCTCATATGCCAAGCCAGCAATCAGTTCTGCAGCAGACACCTGCTGGGTGTCCTCCAATTCAATTTTGACTGTACCAGCTTAGAGATAGTGCCAGATCCCCCACGGCGAGGGATTGATCCCAGAAGAGTGCCCCCACCCCCACTTCCAGTGCCAGTTGAAAGCCCCAGGTTGTTTTGCCTGTGCCTCTGACTGGTTGTAAGTCAGGAATCCCAAGGTGAACCACCTTCATGGGTTTGATTCATTTGCTAGAGCAGCTCCCAGAACTCAAGGAAACTCTTACTTACATTTACTGGTTTATTGTAAAGGATATTACAAAGGATACAGTCGAAGAGATGCCTATGGTGAGGCATGGGGGAAGGGACTCGGGGCTTTCATGCCCTCCCTGGGCATGGCCCCCTCTAGGAACCTCCTCATGTTCAGCCATCCGGAAGCTTTCTGAACCCTGTCCTCTTGGGCCTTTTGTGGAGACTTCATTGGATAGGCATGATTGAAGCATGGCAACCATGTTGAAATGTGATGGGAAAAAAAGGATATGCTCTCATACTAATAGATGATTGGGGAAACCCAGCAAGGCCTGTCTGTTCAGATTCTTCTGGCCTCTCTGTGTGGCATTCCTTCTTCTAGGGTATGGGGCAGGGCCCTCAGGACCTGTGCAGAGACAGAAGACCATCTGTTTATGTAATTCATTCAACCCTTAGGGAAGACCTGCAATGAGTCAAATGCAATGCTGTGCATCTAAGATAGAATTGCTCCCCTGAAGATTCTAATGGCTTCGTTATGAAGACGTTACAAGCGTTGGTTGGACTGATGGGCCTTTAAGGATCTGATCGTGCACAGCATGCTTGCCACTGTGTGTATGGAGATGGGTGTTGATGAAATCCTCGCTTTGCCTCCTACACTCAGTGTCAGAGGTGGCTGACCTGAGGCCAAAGCCATGCAGTTCCTTATTTAGCAGGTTTGGACACAAAGATGGAGAAAAACAAAATTGCGATCATGACCTAAATGATGCCGTAACAACGTTAGCATGATGTGCTTTGAAAAGATATGCACAGAGGCACTAGAAAAAGTTTTCAATTTAACAAATAAATTATACATTAAAATAAAAAATTAAATTGTGGCCTTCTTTTAGTAGACACAAATGATTCTGAATCCTGTTCTTGGACAAATAGGCATTTTTGATGTACAACATTTTGATATATACATTTTTTTTTTCTATTAAATAACAAAATTTTGGACTTAGAAAGTTTATCTAAACCATTCTGTCCAACACCATCATATTTTCCTTGCCCCTCTTTTTTCTTCTTTCTTTGCCTACTCTATTTCTATTCTCTCATCTTCTCCTTTTTCTTCTCATGTTGTAATGATAACTTCTCATGATGCTGCAAATTACAAAATGCCATCTCATGTAAGTTTTCATTTCTCTCTCTAAACAAATCTGGAAGATAGGCAGAGGTGGGCTTATTTTCTTACTTTACAGATAGAAATAAGACCCAGGGTTGTTAAGTGAGCCACATAAGACATTACAACTAATGACTAGCGCGAACAGTCTGCTTTGATAAACTCAGTGCCAAATATACAGTTTGACAGTATACAGCTCATAGCAAGAACTATGTTCTCTTGCTGGAGGCTAAGCAAAACTAGTCAAAGGCTGCCATGTGGTATCATGGGAAGAACATGGATTTTGGAGTTAGGTAGGCCTGGGTTAAAATCTCAGCTCTACTGTCATTCATTTATTCATTCTGCAAATAGTCATCGACTTCCTCTCACCTGCTTCTGCCTTCGCAGATACTGGGGATAGATAAGTGGTGACCAAGGAGGAGGGAGCTGCTGCTTCTGTGAATGAGCTTTTGAACAAGAGTCATATTCATTGATGAGAATAAGCCCATAGAACATAATGCAATATTGGGGGAAGAATGCTATGGAGAAGATAAAGTGGGAAGACAAAAGAATAAAGAAATGGCAGGCAAGGGTAGCTGGGATGATGTGGTTTTAGATAAGCGGGTCTGGAAGTGCCTCCATGGGGCTAGCATTTGGGTGGAGATACAAGTCAAGTGAGAGATTTTTCCGGACATGCAAATGTCTGGAGGAGAAATGTACCAGTGAGTGTTTCTCAAAGCTCAAGCCCATTACAATTATGTGGGAGCTTTAAAAGCAACAACCAAGCCCTACAGATTCAGATTTAATTGGTCTGGGGTAGGGCTTGGGTGGTCCTTTTGAAAAGTTCTCGGGGTGGATTATTCTATTCTTTCTACTTTTGTGTATGTTTGAAATTCTTCATAATAATATGCTTTTTTTTTATTTTTAATTTTTTTTTGAAGTTAAAGCTCCCCAGGAGATTCTTATGAGCATGCTGGCTTTTAAGTCACCGAAGTAGAGAAACTGAGCACTAGTCCCTGAGCCAGGCTGAGCTTGCCTTGTTTTCTGGGAAGAGCCAGAAGGCGGAAAGGCCTGACTGGGGCTGAGGTGAGAGCCTGGCTGGGGCCAGGCCCACTTACAAGCCCAGCATGTTGGTCAGGTACCTTCTCATTTTGAAGTCTCAGCTTCCTTATTTGCAAAACAAGGATGATACTTACCTTTCAGGGTTATTGAGAGAATTGAAAGAAATGATACCTGGCAGAATGATTCTCAAACTTGAGTGTACATTGAGTGTGCATTAGAATGTATATATGTGTGTGTATATATATATGCACATATATATATATATATTTCCTTTTCCTTTTTTCTTTTTTTGCATTCTGTTTCTAACCAGTTTCTGAGTGACGCCAAAGCTATTGACCCAGGGACCTTACTTTGAGAACCACTGGTGCAAGGGGAGGGTATAGCATGGTGCTCAGGGGTTCTTGACAGCTAAAGCCAGAGGCAGGACAGTCCCCTAGAGATGATGCAATGGAAACTGAAAGGTGAGAGTAAGACAAAACAAAAAGCAATGTCCATTTAAGACTCACTCTCCCTGATTTTTAAATTAATGGCCCCTTGGGAGTAAATGTGCTCCCTTGAGCAGTGCTGAGAAGTTCCTGTAGGGTCACTTAGAAAAGCTTTTCCATTGGATATGCCTGGTCTGAAAAAACAACAACAAAAAAAAAGAGCAAAAGAAAAGCTTTTCCAGTGATCTGCAGTCAAGCCTTGCAGGAGCTTTGGGCTGCCTTATCGTGCCAGGCCACTGCGACATGCCCCTAGACAATGTGAAACCACACACAGAGCTTCACAGCTTCGATTTAAACAAAATAAATGTTCGACTGAAAAGCTCTGGCTGATGGTTTGACTTACTAAGTTTTTAAATCTAAATGCCTGGCACCGTAAGAAGGGACCGCCTAAATAGTGTTTTTGTCCTTGAATGGGTTTTCTAATCAAAGAGTTTGGAGAGGAGCAGACAGTACTTTCCCAGGGACTGTTCTTCCCTGTGCTGTTGACCTACTAAAGTACTCAAAGCCCGGCATCGCTGGGAAAGCTCTGCGTTTCGTCAGGTGGGCTGAGAATAGTCTGGCGTTTAGAGAGAAGCATAGGTTCAACTCACCGAACAGAGTCCCCTCTGAAGATGAGAAGATGCCACTACCATTTCCCCCAGGTGGGATCATAATCCAGTTTGCATCATGAGTTTCTCTCACTTCGTGGTCCTAGAACTCTTCTGCCCCTTTCTCCCACCCTTCTGGTTACCAGCATGATTGATAGGACAGTTATTGAATCGGGTCACACATTGAGCTGTATCTTCCTAGTGGGCAGGGCCACCATGTCTCAAGCTGGAGGGCACCCACATGTGGCATTTCCTACTTCCCGCCGTGGCCTGAGATCAGCACCTTCTTCTTTTCCATCTCCCCTGGGCATGCAGCTGGATAGATATGCTAGAGCCTCAGTTCCCCCTTTCCTCACTTCTCTCTCTAGATGAGCCGGTGGATGGGAGGCGGTAGGGGGAATGCTGCTCCGAGGTTTAGATTTGGTGGGAGGAGGAGAGAGGGCAGAACAGGGTGCCACTTCTGTTTCCAGGCATAAGCCACGCCTCATGTTGTCATCCTGTCTGTCACCAGGTCCCTGCATGGGGACTCCAGCAGATGGCTATTAATAAAGTGAAACTCTGATTTTTCATTCAGCCTTGGGAACCCCTTTGAGATGAGGAGGGGTGACTCGCAGGGAAGGGTTTAGATATTATGGATCCTTGAACATAATACCATGCTAACAGCTGGGGTGAACCGGGGCGATGCTAAATGGAAATCCTTGTCTCTATAAATTTGCCTTTTCTGGACATTTCTCAGAACATCTTTAAGCCTCAGTTTCCTTGCCTGAAAAATGGGTTTACTGATGGTCCGAACCTCATATTATCCCTATGTGGATTAAGTGAAATAATCCTTGTAAAGCAGTCAGTTCAGTGCCTGGTAACCAGTAAGTAGTAAATGTTAGCTATCATTATTATTTTACCTAGCTATCTGCAGTCCTCGGCGATTAAACCCATCCAGTTTTCTTAGAGAGATCTCAAATATTAAATCGGACTTAGCCAATTGTCTTTCTTCATACAGTCTTGATACATCCTTGCCAGTTGCAGCTGCAACTTTGACTTCTGCCATAAGAATTGTTTTACAATGGTGAAAAATGCTCGCTTTTCATAACATCTGAATCTATTACTTGCCACAAAGTGGCTGGCGTTGGCAGACATACTGGGGAGGCTTCCTGTCCCCCTGCGAAGTAGAAATGAGCTCTTGCGTGAGAGGCAAAGAGAACGCAGTGCACACTGAAGGGTGCAATCCCTGGATTTGAGACTTGTGATTCAGCAAACCTGCCTTGTAGTTAGGGATGTAAATGCAGATAAACACCATAAATCAAAGAGAGTGAGGTCTGGTTGCAGGGTGAAGGTGGCAACTACAGGTTACTCCTATGTAGAGATTGTAAATGTCAGTTGCAAACATGATGACATTTCTCATTTGTAAATGCACATCAGCTCTTTCAGAACTTATTCTGCTTTGGACAAAGAAGTATATTGTCCATGATAATATTTCTCAAAGTACTTTAGCCTTGTGAATACTATTGAAAATAAATTGCACAGCTTTTTTTTTTTTTAATGCGTTTGAATCGCCATTGCTAAGAAATACAACAGCTTGACATTTAGACAAGTTAGCCAGAATAACAACATCTCAAAAATTAGTGATGTCAGTAGGAAATTTCCTAGTCATTTGTCCACGTCTCCCTTTTCCCCCAGCCTCTATCTCTCCATTTGTAATGTGGAACTAATGATGCTTCCTTCACAGGGTTATTGCAAGTATTCATCATAAGTGCAGTGCCTGGTTTAGAGCAAGTACTTCATAGGTGCTGGTTTTCCTAAAAATGCACATTATTTATAATTCTGAATCCTCAGTTCTTTAATCTGGAAAAAGGAGATCATCGTATCTACCTTATTAATGAAAACAATAACTAATATTTACTAAGTACTTATTATGTGCACCACATAATAGAACTGCAGATAGGTTATCTAATCCTCATAATCGTTGCATAAAAGAGAGACTCTTATTAGACCCCATTTGCAGGTTAGCAAATGGAAGAGCTTAACCCCTCCCAGACTGTGACTGTAAGTCTATACTGTAACCACCATGCTGTCTTTTCTGGCTACCTTTTCTGGTTTATGAGACAGCTCTTTGGAATTATATCTGGGAAAACTCGGCACAGTGCCTAGTCTGTTGAAAGTGACAATAGTCGTCTTTCCTCTATCCCTGCCTTTCCCCTGATTTTTGTCTGAACCCTTTAGAAGCTGCATCTGAAAAATACTTTGGAGGCCTTGTGGGCAAACACACCAGGCTTAGGGATGAAGGGGAGGGTCCACGTGGGAGGTCCATCCTGGGTGGTCTGCAGCAGGAGCACTGGGCTGAGAGAAGGAACTGGTTCCCATCCAGGCTTTTCCACCAACAGCATCATGTGCTGACTCTTGGCAAGTCACTGACATCTTTTGCACAAGTGATCTAAAGCCCCTTCCTGCTCTGAGATCCTATGTGATGGGTCTTTGCTTTGACCATTAGCTTGTGGTTTGGAACAATGATTTGGAGAAACCATGCAGAGAAGGGGAGCTAAATAAGGAGAAGTTATGGGGAATCTCTTTCTGTCTGTCCCTTAGGGACTCCAGCGAGTAAGTTAGCCTCTCTGGGGTTCACTTCCTCATTTAAAGGTGGAGATAACACCAACTCCCTACGTACATCACAGGGCTGTGTTAACTATTACACAAGATGATGAATACAAAGCTGTTTGGAAATCGGACTGTGCTTCGAAAGACAATTCCTAGTGTTACTGAAAGAATTTATAGCAGGTCAGAGTGATTGGAAATCTCCTTCAGTTACAAATACATCACTGTTGCAGTAACTGCTAACAAACCACCAAGGGAAACATAGTCCAAGCTGCAAGATCAAGTAGAAGCCTGTGCCTGATTTCTTCTCAGGGTCAAGTTTCCTAGTGAGTTTATATCTATTTTTTTTCAGAGTTATTTAGTGGAAGGAGGCAGTACTTTTTATAAAATGGCATGTGGAATTTTATATGTTTCTGTGCAAAATCGAATGTTGTACCCCAATTAATTAATTAATTAATCCATTAAAGTGTCCATTATCTCTTATTTCTTGGCAATGCATTTTAGCAACATTTCTGTACTTCTGTACTGTTTTAATGAATTTATACATAATTATATTTCTTATATTCATAAGTCTTGTCAGCACTATTCTGTCAGTCTACTTTTTTACTTTAGGGTAATGTCAAATAATAAAAAGAATAAATCTGGACTTAGTTATGAAGAGACTTTTATTCAGAAGGATTATTTCAGGAAGTGGGGGAAGGAAATATTGCAATAGGAAAAGTCTTTGCCCATGAGATCTGCAAGCATCTTGAGAGTTAGGCAAAAGAGTTTTTCTTTTATAAAGAACATTAGAAAGAACCATATGTAGGGAAGTGGGATGGAAGGGTGGGATGATTGGATAGTAGATTAGAGAATATTTTATCCTGAGGCCAGCCTGTTTCCAGGAGGGGCTATCTGCTGGCTCAGTCTTAGGGTGGGCCAGAGTTCCGGGGCCTGGAGGAAGGAGAAAAGTTCAACCATTTCAGTTAACAAGCACTTTGTTCCCATTGATCAGTGGGGACAGGCAGCTCAGCTAATCATTTGAGGCAAAGAAAGGGAATTTGGAGAGTCTATGTCTGGCCTTGTCATAGGTAAACAAGGGGGGCATCTGTGAGTCTTATCTAAATCACATGGGAGAGGCTGGTGGATCTTTGCAGTAACCTGCACAAAGATTTTTTAACCTTTACCATTTTCCAGGATCACAGGGTTCAAGTAAAATTCAACATTGTTGGTGAGGACCACTTGTGTCAATTAGGATTGCTTTTAGCAACAAGGAATAGAAAATTGGAAAATCAAAGACTTAAAAAAAAGAGAGGCGTATTTTTCTCACCTAACAAATAGTTCAGAGGTCTACAGTTGCTGTCATTGGTATAGCTGATTAATGATGCCAGGAATTCTTTGAGTCTTTCTACTCTGCCTTCTCATGTTTGTTGCCTCTCGGTCACAGAATAGTTGTATAGCTCCAAACATCATGTCCATATTCAAGACAGGGAGAAGTCACATGGCTACCTCTACCTGCACAGGAGACCAGGAAAGTTATTAGCTGTGTACGTGGCCACTGGGATTTTCTTAGTAAGAAAGTAAGGGGGTATCTAACCACACCCAATCTTATGTTTTTTCTGGCAATTATACTCTATACATGATATTGACTAATTCTCTATCACCAACATAATCATTTTACTATTTGAATTGTAGGGAACTAAATGTCTTGTAAATGGAGCATTAGAAAAGTATCCAGTATATTTTAGTCTAGATGAAGAAATTTTTTTTTTTTTTTGAGACAGAGTCTCGCTTGTTGCCCAGTCTAGAGTGAGTGCCCTGGCGTCAGCCTAGCTCACAGCAACCTCAAACTCCTGGGCTCAAGCAATCCTGCTGCCTCAGCCTCCCGAGTAGCTGGGACTACAGGCATGCACCACCATGCCCTGCTAATTTTTATATATATATATTAGTTGGCCAATTAATTTCTTTCTATTTATAGTAGAGACGGGGTCTTGCTCTTGCTCAGGCTGGTTTCGAACTCCTGACCTTGAGCAATCCGCCCGCCTCAGCCTCCCAAAGTGCTAGGATTACAGGCGTGAGCCACCGCGCCCGGCTTAGATGAAGAAATTGAGCCATTGTTAGAGGTGGTTTTCTGGAGGAGCTTCAAGAAAAGCCAAGAATCCCTTGAGTAAACTTATTTGGAGTCATTTATTCAAATGTTAGTAAGCTCGGAAAATAAAAGAAATATTGCAAGAGATTTATATTTCTAATTTTAAAGAGCTCTTACACATTAGTAACACAAACTTTGTCCAAATAAAGGAAAGAATTATGCTTTTTCATATCAAAGTGTTTAAATAAACAACGGTAGCCAATCCTAGTGTCATGCTTCTTTGCTACTGATGGGAGTACACACTTGTTATACATCTTCTGAAAAATTTTTAAAAATTATAAAGAGCTTTAAAATGTTAATGCACTTACCTAAAATTGATCTCTAATGAAACTTTCCTAATGAAAAAAAATTAGAAATTATGGACCAAGTATTCTATATAAACATGATTACCCTGGAAATATTTATTTTCATAAACATATTTGGAAACAAATATCTTAGGAGAATTGCTAAGGTATGAATTCTCTGTAGCCTCCACATAATCAATATTATGTTAAAAATAAGAATACAAACTGTTTATACTATATTATTCTCATTTTGGAACATATAGAAGTATTTATTATATTTACTTAAAGGAAGTAGGTCAAACATTATCAGTAGGTATTTGTGAATTATGGGGTTACATAAATAATATTTCTTTATTCTTTTTAGCAATTTCAAATTTTCTTATAATGAATATGAATTATTTTTATAATTATAAAAAATTCACTTTATTTTTTTAAAAGCTGAAATACAAATGAGTCTGTTTGCTGATATCCTTTTCAAAAAGAAATAATGGGTGAGAAAATGCTTCGATCCAGAAATTTGGGCCGAGCTGTTCAGCACTCGAAAAGAACATTTTATTGGGAGGGGAGGTGTTACCAAGCATTTGGTTCCTCTGGAGTTCTGGCATTTCTCAGTTCTGCCACGAAGGGACTGTTTAAAGGAAGGTGCCACAATAGTTCATTCTTCTGTATTCACGCAAGTCATGGTCATTCTATTTTTCTCTTCCTGGAGAACTTTCTGTTCTTTTCTTTCTGTGATATACAACAGGATGGAAGTCACTAAGGGTTGTAACTTCATCTGGGAGAGGAAGGGAATCAGTTTAAGGAAACAGTGTCTTAATTTACACAGATATTCAAAGCTAGATCATGTAAGATTGGGAAGGTTGCTGTCTTGACACATAACTATCCCTTTTGCTCCATATGTATAGAAAATGGGGCCTTATGATTCTGGAAGGAGTTGCCAGTTGTCTCTCTTCTAAAGCTTGTTGATGAAAACATGTGGCGGGGGTATAAATGAGTGGGTGTGTGTACACCCTGGCCACGTTCTCTTAAGTGTGTGTGAGATCAGGGGCAAGAGAGATGGGAGCTGTTTCTCCTGATGTCTTTCATCAGTCCCCGAGGTCTGCCCCTCTACTGGGGCATCGGTGGCACGGCACATGAGGGGTTCAGATACGCCAGCTTGTCATGTGCTGGTTGGAAATTCTTGGTATGAAGCCACTTCTTCTAGAGCTGGAAGAAGCTTATGGATTCAATTTCAATTTTGCCGTCCATTTCTTTGCCGGGTACTTTTCACGTACATCTGAGATTCCTAGACTGGGATGTGTTTATCCCTGGGTGATGCCACCTGAGCCAGGAGGCCCTGGGCCTGTAGAAAGATTCACAGTGTTTACTCCTTGACTTCACATCAGTCCCAGGCAGAGTGTTTAAGGAGATGACTTCATTTATGAACGATTTATGAGCCAATAATATGGCCGTAGCACTTGGAAGCAAGATTTCATCTACAAGCTTCATTTTTGTTCATTTGTTTGTTTACTTTCATACTGAAATTAATCTATGAACCATCGCTTTGATCTTAATAGTAGAGCAGCCTTTTTGGCAAGATGAGGGGCAGGAATTGTAAGTTGCCGTGGTGCAGTGGGTGGAATGTGTCATGGTGCCCACCCCAGCCCAGAACCCCCATAGACAAGGATGTGACTTACCATGAAAACAAGGAAACTCTCCTGTCCTTTGGAATCTAGAAAGGTCTTTTTATGAACAAAAGGAACTAATGTGATTTGAAGCAGATGTTTCTTCCCCTTTTCTGTCCTTTATACACAATCAAAAAGAAGCCGTTGTTGAAAAATTCTCTGTGATATACAGTAGGACAGAAGTCACTAAGGGGTGTAACTACATTAAGGAGGAGAAGGGAACCAGTTTAAGGAAACGGTGTCTTGGAAATGATAAAATAATGAATTGAGTTTCATTGTGACACATGGATATTTAAACTATAACCTCTCCCCAGAATTCTAGCCGTCTACACGACATCCCTACTTGGATGTCTAATTTGTATCTCAAACTCAGCTTACCCAAAATGATGACCTCTTAGCCCACAGATCACTTCTTCTCTGAGTTTTCTCTATCATAGAAAATGGAGCCCCATCTACCTGGTTGTTCCAGCAAATGTTCTAAGAGTTATCTTTGATTTTTTTGCTTTTCTTTCCCCCACAGTCAATATATCATCAATTCCTGTTGACTTTACCTCCAGTATATATCCCCCAATCACTGACTTCTCCCCATCATGGTTATTACTCCCTGTTCAACTCACCATTGTCTCTTATCTGGACTGTTGCGCTGGTCTTCTAACCTGTCCCCTTGTTTGCTTATTATCTATTTTCTACCAAGCAGAAGAATCACATTTTTAAAAAGCAAATCAGATCTGGTCATTCCTAAACTGAATTCCTAATCAGATCTGGTCATTTCCCTATTTAAAGCTATCCATTAGTTTTCCATAGCAATGAGAATAAAAGCTTTACCTCTTACCCTGGTCCTTTGGGGTACAGCGCCCACAACCTCTATAACCTTAGCTCCTAAGACTCTGTCTCTCACCCAGAACTCTCCAGACCATGGAGAGTTAAGCATGCAAATGCATCAATCTGGGGACCTTCCTCCTGCTACCAGGAATGGGCTTTCCTTATCTTCCCATGACCAGCTTCTTCTAACATTTAGAACAAGATGTTCTGATAAATGTTATCCTTCATAGAAGCTTTCCCTGACAACGTGATTACATAACTCTCCCCCCCCCACCTCGACTAAGCATCATCTATCACCTAACCCTTGCACTCAAATGTTTATAGCAGCACAATTCACAATTGCAAAGTTGTGGAAACAACCAAGTGCCCATCAATACATGAGTGGATTGATAAAATGTGGTATATGTATACCATGGAGTACTATTCAGCTTTAAGAAACAATGGTGATATAGCACCTCTTGTATTTTCCTGTATAGAGCTGGAACCTATTCTACTAAGTGAAGTATCTCAAGAATGGAAAAACAAGCACCACATGTACTCATTAAATTGATATTAACTGATCAACACCTAAGGGGACATATAGGAATAACTTTTATCTATCGGGTATTGGGCAGGTGGGGGGTAGGAGGGGATGGGTATATACAAACATAATGAGTGAGATGTGCAGTGTTTGGGGGATGGTCACACTTGAGGCTCTGACTCGAAGGGGAGGGGGAGCATGGGCAATATATGTAACCTTCACATTTGTACCCCCATAATATGCTGAAATTAAAAAAAAGAAAAAGAAAAAAAAATAAATTACCTGGATGGCACTTTTAGCTATCCCCACCGCCAAGGCCTGCCTGCATTTCAGATCCATGAGAACGGGGGCCGTGTCTGCTTTTTCACCACTGTGTCGCCAAGACCGACGTCAGTGTTTGGTGTGGCATGAAGCCCCTGCTCAGCTGCTTTCTGTAAATCCAGCTTTTTAATCGATTCTTACTATTTGTGCTGTTTCTGCAGAAGACCGGACTGTATGCGTATAAAGTCTTCGGTGTTCTGGAGGACTGCTCACCAGCTCTGCTCGCTGATGTCTATATGGACTTAGACTATAGAAAGCGGTGGGACGAGTATGTTCAAGGTAAATGCTGCCTACTTTTTTTTTTTAATCATTAGAAAGTAAAATTTATTCTTCTTTATTCTAGCCAGTAGAAAAAAAAAAGTTTAATTTCTACCATATTATGCTTCCTTTTAAATTGTGCACCAAAGTCTTTTAAATGTGGGGGCGAAATGAACTTTTGTTATTCCTAGGACTTGCTCCTTGTGCACTCTTAGATCCTCTCTCCAGTGTGCTCCTGGCGCTACTTTGGTGTCACTGTTAAGTTGGGTTGTCCTCCTGTGTACCTGGGTGCTTGTGGAAGGCTTCTTGGAGGAGGTATAGCGTTTAAGCTTTGTTTTGGAAGTTGAACCAAAGTTTTCTAAACAGACAGGAATGCCTATAGGGTGAGAGGGGGAGGAGTTAAGGACATTCCACACCCAGGGGGCAGCAGGAGTCAAGGCAGGAAAGCTCAGAGCAGCATGCTCACAAACCACCGGCATGTGGTGTTGCCATGTGGGTTGGAACAGCAGAACCTATCCATGCTCCACTACTGCTGCTGGTACTAGTTCTCCTACTGGTACTAGAACTAGGGCAGCCGCTGGGTCCACATCCTCAAGGGCCCAGCATGGCCCCTGAGCTACAGGTTTTAGACTTTACCCCGTCAGTGATACCGAGTTACGAGGGACATTGAACATGGATCGTCCTGCCACTTAGAGCTGGGAGTGGCCTCTGGCAACTAAGTCCCAGTGGAACAGAACCACAGAACTAGCCAGCGGCGCATCAAGTCTTTACCGTCGGGACTCTTGGTTTCAAGAACCTAACTAAAGACAGTGTAAGAAAAGAAAAGAGAGTTTATTGGTTCCTGGCTTTGGTAAGTCCAAGGGTTTCTGGCTTCTAGGACAGCTGCAATTTGGGAACTTAAATAATTCCTGCGGGGATGTTTCTTTCTCTATCTCTAGACTCTTTTCTTCTGTGTTGACTTAATTTCCAGGCAGATTATTATGCTATAGCAAAAATGTCAATCAGAAAAACCAGACTTATATTCTGACCATATAAATAACCTCAGAGGAAAGAGAATTCCACTTTCCTAGGGATGGCAGGCAGACTGCCAGGACTGGCTCCCATCAGCTCAGCCTGTAGCACATGCTCATTTCCTGTGGACATTTGTCATGGTCTTGGGTAACTTAGCGTTTTCAGATGCCCTTCCTATTTAGGGGGTCTTGTGCCACTCACCTGTCTGAGGGAGCAGCCAGACACTCTCTGCCCCAGTCTTCCTGGCAGCTGTAGTGCAGTCGTGTGATACAGACTCTGCCAATAAGACACACGTATGGCTTCCCTTTGGAGAGCAATGTGAGAAAGCAGGCAGCGTGCAAAATCCATTTCTTGGTGATGGCTAAGGCATCTGACATTAGGGAAAACAACTGCAGAACCTCTGATGTTTGCCACCCAGCAAACATTTCACTCTGGGTTCTGATCCGGTGGAAACAACAATTTGGCTTTGCTGGAACAATCCTGAGGTTCTAAACCTCACTCTGGTCCTCCCTGAGAGCCTTTGCTAAACTGCTTTTCAGCCTGAACTTGCTAGAGTGGCACACTAAGAACCTGGCCAGATGTACCATCTTTGTACCATCACCATGGCCGTGTCTTGTTCATTTTCCCAGTCCTGGAATTACTGCAGAGTCTGTCTGGCTTAAACCATATCGTCAAGATGTAGGGCAAGGGTCTTGCCTTGAAGGAAAATTGAGACACCGATACAGAAGGGGGAATCAATGCTGAGCATGCCAAAGCAACAGATGTCCACTCCTCCCCTCCCTTTAAGGGCTGTCATCAGCCTCCTGTGGCCCTAATGGGCTGGAAAACTTCTTAATTCACAGGCTGCTTCTAACAGATTTTCTTTCAAAAGCTAAATTAACCTCCCTCAGCATCACCTCAAGGGACTTTGGGTTAGGAGGTCTCTAACTGGTTGGGAAGATGCTTACTGCACAGCTTGGGGTCAGAGGGTGTGCGTGTCATTAAATTCCTTTGCTGTCTCCCTCCGAGAGTTGGCTGCTGTTTGCGCATAGTAGCAAGATGGAATGAATAATGTTAAGGAAATTTGGTCATTCTGGCTATGGTATAGTGTGAATAGACATGGGAGGGAAGGAAGAAACAGCCAGAGTTCTGCCACTTTCAAGCTATTTAGGAAGGACATTGTCCTCTCTGGAACCTTTCAGTTTCCACCTGAATGTGCTAGACTGGGTGACTCAGTCCCAGGTTGGCTGTAATGTGTCAAGAAATCTTAAAGGAAAAGAAAAGGTCTTAGAAGCAAAATTATTGGTACTCTAGTGACACCTAGTGGTTATCCTGATTTTAAAACCTCTGACTATTTTTTGATGCCTGATTTTGTTACATGGCATTCTATACAGGAATCTTGTTTGTGCTATACAAAGGACAAGTTTGGTTGGGCTCTTTTATTCCTGACGTGTTTTTTTATCCGCCAAACTCTGTCCCTGGGCAGCAACCTTTCAGTGGCAATTCATCTGCCTGACTTTTTCTAGAATTCTATGCCTTATGAGTTAGTGGTTTCTCATACCCTACACGGTCATCTTATTTATTAATTGAAGCCAGAGAAGTTTCTAGGTGCATTAACTTCTTTTTTTTCTCCTTTAGAACTCTATGAACGTGAGTGCAATGGACAGACAGTGGTCTACTGGGAAGTGAAGTACCCTTTTCCCATGTCCAACAGAGATGTATCCTTTCCACAAGGCTCGCCGTTCCTCGGCCCTCTGAGTGTCTCTGTGCCCGTCGGCCATTGTATGACGCAGGCGCAGACAGCATTGTCTCTGATTCTTGCAGCAGCATCTGCCAAAGCTGTTGCTTCTTGTGTGGTTTGTGGGGACCTCAGAGTGTGACTTCTGGGCCTGGCCACATGGAGCGTCTGTAATTGTGGTTCCTGGAGCTTCATACTTTCCTAAGAAGTTTCCTAGGCCCGGAGATTGTCAGGCCACAGAATTGGAGACCTGAAAGGAACTTTTTATCAAGAGTGCTTCGTACAGCTCCCTCAGCTCTACAGAGGAGGAGGGGGGGGGCATCCAGAGAGGTGACAGAGGGTTACAGGTGGCAGAGCAAGCATCAGAACCCAGGGCCCTGCATTCCCAGCTCTCTCCACGCCCTCCTGTCTCAGTTGTACCCTCCTTGACTGTTGGCTCTGAACACTGAGTGTAAACTTCTTCCCCTCGCTCTCCTTCTTTATGAAATGAAGCAGCTGATTGAAATGTGGGGAGTTAGGGCTGGCGCTCCTAGGTTCTCAGAAGCCTCTTTAGGACCAGCCTGGGGGTACAGGAGAGAAATCAGTTGCCTGGGCAGGGTGGGGGTAGGATGATTGACTCATAGGTGAGATTTTGTCTCCTTCACTATCCTCTTCCATCATAGCAGCTGAGTGTTTTACAGACTCATATGTATATCAATTTCCATAGATGATCCTTTTAACAAAGGGTCCGGGAAGTAAAAAAAAAAAAAAAAAAGTTTGGAAGCCACTGAATTAGAAGATCACTGGAACTTTCCCTAGCTCTGACATTGTATGAGTCTGGTTGCTCCTAAATAATTATTCTCTAGAAAGAGAGAAAGAGTGAGGGTGTTTTTGTGTGATTTTTGTGTCTGTGTGTCCACATCTACCCTGGACTCCAACTGGATTGTGAATTATTTCTTGGTACAGTATCTGTGTATGGCTAGTTTGTATACACATAGTTTGTATTTCAACAGATTATTGATTATGTGACCCATTAGATTTCACGTTTTTTTTTTTTTGTTTTTTTTTTTGAGACAGAGTCTCACTTTGTTGTCCAGGCTAGAGTGAGTGCCGTGGCGTCAGCCTAGCTCACAGCAACCTCAAACTCCTGGGCTCAAGCAATCCTCCTGCCTCAGCCTCCCGAGTAGCTGGGACTACAGGCATGCGCCACCATGCCCGGCTAATTTTTTATATATATATCAGTTGGCCAATTAATTTCTTTCTATTTATAGTAGAGACGGGGTCTCGCTCTTGCTCAGGCTGGTTTTGAACTCCTGACCTTGAGCAATCCGCCCGCTTCGGCCTCCCAAGAGCTAGGATTACAGGCGTGAGCCACAGCGCCCGGCCTCACGTGTTTTTTTTTTAATCCTGCCAACAACTAGGCAATGCAGGTATCCTCGTCCCCATTTTGCAGTTAAAGAAACTGTGAAAGCTGCCAGGTGATGCTCAGTTTTGCTCCAAAACTAATGTTCCTTTCTACTGCACTGTTCTCTGTTCTCAAGAATTCAACAACCCTTACTGGGGAGACCTAGACACATATATAAAGACTAAGAGACTTATTATAGGATTGTGTGACATTGGAAAGCCAAGGACATAGGCCTTCAAGGAGCCCCGAGTGTCTGCTCCTGAGAATACCTACTCAGCCGTGTCACGGTGGGGTCAGAGAGGTGGGCTGATGCCCTGGTCAAGATCGCAGTCTCTGGAGACAGCTGGACCGGGAGTCCCAAACCTGCCCCTGCCACCCAGCATGCTGTGAATGTGAGCTGAATTCTGAACATCCCTGCCAAGCCAGCAGATTTGGAGTCTGAACACATTCCCCGGGTTGCTGTGTGACCTTGGGAAAGGCCCTGCACTTCTCTGGGCCTCAGTGAACTTGCGGTTCTCCAGTCACAGGCCGTGTGGCACTCTGGAACTGCCAGCCCTTCCAAGGCACTCTGCTGGATTGTAATCCGTCTGTCAGGGTCATTTTCCATCAGTGGAGTGTCAGGCGACGACTGTCACATGAGCTGAGTAAGCTGGGGGAGAGAGTGGGACAGTATTTGCTGCGAGCACAAATTAAAAGGCTTGGAGAGAGGAAAGACAGAGCCAAAGCAGCATCATCTCTTCCCTGAAACATTTAATACATCCGCTGCTCAGCATGTAAGAGCAGGAGGCAAGAGACCGCCTGGTGGGAGGGACGGGTCATTCGAGACATTGAGGTGGGCAGGGCTGAGGTGGTTGCTGTGATACAGTAGGTGTAATTTTGTTGGACTTAGTGAACTCTTTGATTGTTTTAGGCTTTTAACTCCCTCTAGCGTGAAACCCAAACTTCCATCACATGAAAGTACATTCAACGCATGCAACATGTGAGCGCCATCTAGCTATGAAATTCTATGTAGGTTTCAGAGCCGGGTCTGAGTTCATATTTAGGTTTCAGGACTGCAGTCAGGCTGTGGGGTTTCGGGTGAGTTTCCTTACCTCTCTGAGCCTCCCTTTTGTCGTCCGTAAGGTGGGGGATACTTATACCGAACTCACAGGGTCTTTGGGAGGATCAGAATTGATGCCGTATGTAAAGCTCATGATGTTACGTGATGAGGGCTCAGTAAGTAGTGACTCCTGATGTTTCATAGGATTTCATTGTTTTCCCTCGAATTGTGCCATAGATGTGGAGGTTGTTCTGTGGAGGTTTATGGAAATGAATGACTTTGTTATCCTTGGTGAACCAGTGTTAACCCAGAGAGAACACGTGCCTACTATTCAGGCATTCACATGTCTTCCTATGGCCACCAGTTGTAGCACTGCTTGACCGTCTTCTATGCATAGAGGTCAGTCATTAGAGCTCTGGGTGAGGACGGGACAAAGAGCGGTGACGCCATTGTCTGTCGAGTGCTTATTCTGCCCTACTCTTTCTTTAGAGCCCCCACCAAGCCTACCTGCTGGGCAGCCTTACTCCCTTTTCCTACCTAGGGAAACTGAGTCTCAGAAAGGTTGAATAAATTACCCAGGATTGCACAGCTGATGAGTGACCCTTCCACCGCTATGTCCTAGTGCCTTCGTGGAGAAAGGAAAAGTGGTTTCCTCACATAATTAAAAGCATCAGGGAACCATTCACAGGTAGGTAATGAGGATAGTAGGTGGCATGAGTCTTGCGGCACAGGTACGCGGACGGGGCAGGTAAGTGGAGTGGCAGTACAAGGGAGCACAGGCCGAGTGGGAGGCATAGAGCCACCCCACCTTTGCCTCCAGCTCGTGGAGCTTTCCTGGTGTCATCTCACATGCTGGCATTGATGGCTTGCCTTGACTGGCGATACAGTATGTCTACACACGGCAGCTGCGAGAGCTGGACATGGCCGGGCGGAAGATCTGCGTGGTCCTGGCCCAGAGCACCTCAGTGCCTCAGCTTCCGGAGAGGCAGGGGGTGGTCCGGGTGAAGCAGTACAAGCAGAGCCTGGCGATCGAGAGTGATGGCAAGAAGGGGAGCAAAGGTAAAGCCTGGGGTACACGCTGGCACACCAGCCAGGCTCCTCTAGAGAAGGCTGTGCTGACGGAGGGGGGCGTCAGGTGCACAAAGCACATGGGGGTGTCAGGTGGGGGCGGGGGTGTCAAAAAATGGGGACAGGTGCAAAACAGACCAGGGATCAACACCTGGGGAGAGACTTGATCCACCCCCACAGACTTGGCTGCAGCATGAATTGGATGTTGTAATCTGCCCCGATCCATTCTTTCCTGATTCTTGCATTGTCCAGGTGAAATCAGAACATTCAAAGTAAACCAGCAGGTTTAGAAATCCATTCCTTGCTGGTTCTGTGGATGTGTGTGCTGGGCCTGGGAGTGGGTAAAGAGGACTGGCGGGTCTGTGTTGGAAAATGCAGCACCTGCTTAATAGGAACCCAGACTCAGAACCTGCCCAGATGGAGTTCCAGCCCCCAGGGAGGAAAGCTGAGGACAGAGTGAGGCATGAGACCACCTGCTATACCGGAATGAGTATGGCAAAATCAGAACCATAGTTAGATTGGTTACCTTGGGTATGTCAACTAACTTTTCTGAGTCTCCATTTCATCATTTATAAAATAGGGTTAGTTTTACCAGTTCCTTAGGGTTGCTGGGATAATTAAATGAGAGACTATATCCAAGTGTATCCAGGTATTTAATAAATAGTAGCAAAATATGCCTGTGGCTGTTTTTCAAAAATGCGTGTGTGTGTGTATATATATATACATATATATATATATATATAATATAATAATAATATATATATGCTATTATAAAGCAAGTCAGTGGAGGGAAGTCCATTAGAATTATATGCTGCCTCCTTCTGCACTTTCTGGGCCTGACTATGAAAATGTAAGTTTGCATGGTTTTATTGCTCTATTTTCCCAGTGTTTTTCCTCTTTTTGAATTGTCCTTTCTCTCTCTCTCTCTAGTTTTCATGTATTACTTCGATAACCCAGGTGGCCAGATTCCGTCCTGGCTCATTAACATGGTTGCCCAGGTGAGATCCCAGGAGGCCTGAGGGCGGGGGAAGCGTGTTTGACAAATGTCGCCTTAGCTCGTGGGGCTGTCAGGCTGAAGAGATACATTGTCTCAGGAGTAATGAGGCTCTTTTATGAAGAGCTTGGTTGAGTGACTTTGGTTAGGTCTGGGATTGCCAACACCGAAGACAGTGGCTGGGACAAATGACAAAGAACGATCAGCTTGGAATGCCAGCCTCTCCCTCCCGGTGCCCCGAGACCCCTTCAAGAATCACTCTCTGGAACCTCCAGACAATAGTCGGTTCCTGGGAGGAACAGTAGGGCCTGTGGACCTTGTACCCATTTGCTAGCGGATGAATGAGACAGACTGACCTGCCTTGGAGACAACCAGATGTGCCCAGGCCTGAGCGAAGCCCCCAGGCTTGTCATTGTTGCTTACTTTTTCTGTAAGGGGAGGGAATGGCAGTCGTAGGTAGCCCAGGTCCCTGGAGACGGCCCGAGGTGCCTGGCATTATGGGAAGCATCTGCCAGCTCTGTATACGTCCTGCCTACCAGAGGGTCCAATGGATTCCTCAGGAAGGTGAAAAAAAAAACACTAGGCTTTGGAGTCAGATGTAATTTGGAATTCTGGCTCTGCTCCTGACTGTCTTGTTTTATGTAGGGAAGCTGTGCATTTCTTCCTTTTCAGAAATGGAGAATGGATCTTACCTATCGCACAGAGGAGGAACGAATAAGACAGTATTTGAGCAAAGTCTTGCACAATGCTCAACATTAACTGAATAATACTCCCTCTCTCACCCTCGACACCCAGTCCTTACTGTTTTCTAATTCTGTAAAGCAAATCCTTTTCACATTTCTTTGGAAGAATCTAATAACCCAGTCCAATCCCATTTCCTGCATTTCCTTTTTCTTTTCAAGAAACGGTGTCTCAGAAATGTCTTTCGCTTTTTCTTAGCTTAAGCTAAACTATAAGGCAGTGTCTGTCATCCCATCTTCTCTGTGCTCTGGGTCTTATCTTTTGTTATTATCTGTGCCAACGATCTGCAGAAATCTTGCCAGGGACCCTGTTCTCTTTTAGTATCCCCAAAGCCATCTGTGTTTACCTTTAGCTGCGTCCCGAAGCATCAGGAGTGATCACTACCAGGACGTGGAAATGACAACCTTTTTTCCTTTGCAGAGTGGAGTTCCTAACTTCCTGAGAGACATGGCGAAAGCCTGTCGGAACTACCCCAAGAAAACCTAAGATGAGGAATTGGGAACGTTGCATCCATGGGGCGATGTCTCTGGAAGTGCCACCACCCACCGATGCCCAGCCTTCCTCTCTTTCCGTTTTCAGAGGCCTGCACGTTCTAGCACGTCGTTCCCTGACGCTGGGCTCCCTCGCCTGCTTCCTTTCTCACTCTCCCCACCCTGGGGCTGGCTGCCTCTTCCACTATTGAATACAGGGCAGACTAGGGAAACCTCCACTTGTTTATTTTTAAGAAGGGAAGTCTTCACTAAGGGAACACCATCATTCTATTGTGCCGTTTTAGGGGGATGGGTGGGTGGAGGGCCGGACAACAAAACGTAAGAGTGACCGTTCCCGCCAAGCTGGCTCCTTCTCAGAATGTGATTTCTTCCAGCCCAGGAGGGGCTGCTGGAAGAGGCATTCCATTCAGGGTTGGCTTTAAGTGTACCCAAACTGGAAGACATGGGCCAGTGACCATTTGTCTGATGCTTTGTTGAGTCGATGAGGCTGGGGTTTGAGGTGGTGATCTAGTCCATCTTTCCTCTTCCCTACTCGTGGATCAGTAGCTATATCTCAAACTATTTGCAGAAGCATCACAGGCCTGAGTGAGCACGTAATGTGGTAACCATTTTTTTTCCCTCATTGCCTATGTCTGTTTTTTTCTCTTTTCCATATCCCACTGGGGAAAGGCTGCTCATATCTCTTTTGGCTCTGCATTTTACTAGAAACTGAGGCATCGGGATGGCTCTGGCAGCTAGCAAAAGCAAAGATGCTTTGTGCATAGCATTGTGATAAAGTGTCCTTCTATGCAATAAGATGAATTTCCCTTCTAGAATGTTTGGAGATATAGAAGGGATAATAGTTCACAGGTAGGTAAAATTTATTTTAGTGGCTTGGTTGATTCTGCACCGTTTTCTCAGGAATTCTACCCAATTTGTCTGACTTTTCCACCACCAAAAGAACTTCCAGTTTCCTATGTTTTCTCCCGAATTTTGGTAGGGTATGATATCCTATAGCCAAAGACATAGCCTTGATGATCTCAGGGAAAAATTTTAATCACTGTGTGTAATGGTACTGAACCTTGATGAATGAACATAGAAATTCAGGATGTAAAGGCAGAGGATAGGATTTATTAAAATGGGATATTTCAGACTGTGTGTTTTCTTTCTGGAAAAAAAAGCATATTCTATAATGAATAAATATAGAGAGTGGCTTTTACTTGTTCTGTGTGCAGCTTCCTTTCTACCTTCTTTCTTTTGTGAGAATGAATTCATTAGGTCTTCTTTGTTTGCAAGTAATATACAACCTAACTCATGGACTTGAATATAAGAAAGAATTTTGGGTTCACTTACATGCAAGACCAGTTATAGGTGGCTTCAGGAAGGGATTGATAAAGGTGTTCAGAATGAGATTAGAATTCAGATCTGTTCTTCAAGTTATCTTTGACATGGGTCCACGTTTGCTAGTAGAATTGCTGTTAACAACAATGCGTAGGCTTGCATCTTCCCACGCTTATGCCAAGAGCAAAAAGAGACAGCATTTCTTTTGACCAGGTCCTGCACTGTTCCAATATGTAGAGTCCCTCTAAACCATGTGCCTATCCACACCCTAGTCATTGTCATGTGGATAGAATTATGCAAGTAAGCTAATGTTCCATAAATTTATCATTAAAATGTCATTATCAGTAATGTAACTGAAATTTAACTTTAGATAAACTAAATATAAATGCCTCCTGTTATAGAGGTTAAGTTAAAATCTTACATATAGATTCTTTGAAATGCAATCACTGAGATTATAGTCGTTGAGTGGAAAATCAACATGAAATGATATCATGTAAACCATTTCTTTAAGAAGCTTTCAGTCATTTGCTAAGAACTCTGAAAACACTAAGGCACTCAGAAAAAAAGTCACAAAGTTTGCAATAATTAGTGGAGCTGTGACTTTTTGGCATTTATGCTTGCTAACTTGCAGTAGAGGACAGTCCTAAACAGCATGGGAATATGAGCTTATGTGAGAAACTGAGAACTCTTGAACTATAATAGGTGCCAGAGGCACAAAAAAAGTAGCACATGGAACATGTGCTTTAGGGCTTTTTTTTAGGGCTTGCACCTGATCTTTCAAAGTATACCTTTCTGCAATGGCTGATGTATGATTTGGAATTTGAAAGTTATATTGTCATTCCTCTAACACTGTTTTGCTTATTTTCCCCATGTCTGTCTGAGTAGATGACAAGCTTTTTCTGTATAGAAACAGTTATTTCACTTTGATACTGTCCCCTGGTGTAGTATATATTAATAGTAGGCCCTCAAATGCTAACTAAATGAATGAATAAATGATTTAGAGAATACTGACCAATGACACAAACCTGGAAGACTAAATCTATCCAGATAATAGAGGTTCATTCCCCATTGACTCAAGCCAAATTATTCCCCCAACTTGGTATTTTGGGAGTTCTAGATTCCCCAGGTTCCCACTGGACCTTTTTTGAAAATATCAAGGTCTTCTCTGTTAAGTGGTGGCTTTACTTGTGTGGCAATGGATTATATTTTAATGTTACAGAAATGGCACAATCTAGACTGGGTCTAGCTGAGATGAGTCAGGATTTCAGTTGCAATTTAATGGCAAAAATAGCACTACTGTTAGTGCTAAGTTTTTTCCACAGGCGGATTTTTCACACTGCATAACAATTCAAAGTTAATGACCACCTTGAAACTGAGGAATTCCAGCAGAAGGTCACTTCCCTTGTAAATGTTCTCATTTCACAGCGAGAGCCCTGGCCTGACTTCCTCGCTGGGATTCCTCACCCAGAACCCCCATCTATAACGCCTGCACTCCAAACCTCCTGTTTCCCAGCTGGATTTGAAAGAGACAAGGCAGGAAGGGCTCCGTTCACTTCTCACATTTCTAGTAGCACCGCCCAGTCAGCTCAGAGAATTGTCTTTAAAAGCATCAAGACATTTATTGTTTTAATGAGTATTTCTCCAGAGGCTGGAGATAGTATGAAGATAGGTGTGGCAGTTCCTGGGATGAATGAGAGAGACTTGGTGCCTGCCATCAAAGAGTTTATGAGCTAATGAATAAAACACAGTGAACAAACCATTAAAGGGTGATAAGTACTCAGAAAAGTCAAATAAGGGGTGCTGTGAAAACCAGGGCACTAACCAAACTTGAGGGGCAGGGAAGAACATGTTAGAGTTGGCTGGGCAAGGCTTGGAAAAGAAAACTCTTCATAATGGGAGAGCCATTTGCATAAAATCCCCAAGGAGGAGGGTCCCAGCATGGTAGTCAGTCACCTCTGAAGAACGAAAGTCCAGCGCGCCAGAGCAATGACATGAAGGAGAGGCATCTTGTACGCGGCTGAAGTAGCAGGCAGCAGGACAATGGAGGATCCGGAGTGCCATGGCCAGGACTGTGGCCTTTACACCAAGAGCTTTCGTAAGCTTATAAGATGTTAGGGTGAGGAGTGACCAGATAAGATTTATTCATTTCTAAAACCACGCATTTTTCTCCATGGTTCCCCCGACATCTCTAATGGTCCCTCTAGTACAGGCGTCCTCAAACTACGGCCTGCGGGCCACATGCGGCCCACCAAGGACATTTATCAGGTCGGCCGGGTGTTTTTGCCGCCGCTGCCTGTCCTGCTTAGCAGCCGACTCTTCCCGGGCCCACAGTGCGCAAGTGTGGAATGTGCGCCGCACTCTCCAATGGTCTGAGGGACAGTGAACTGGCCCCCTGTTTAAAAAGTTTGAAGACCCCTGCTCTAGTATGATTGCGGAGGTGCTATCCAAGGTGCTTTAAGCCTTGTTACTTAGCAGAGTAGCCCATACGTAAACAGAGTTTCCAAAGTGGAACCTCAACTCCTGAAGTTTAATGGGAAAAGAAAAGGCAGGAGCGGGGACATCCATGCATGTCCCCTCCGTGTCTCCTGGCTCATGCTAGCATACAGCATCACTTCCCACACAAATGCATCATGCAGCCCATCAGAGCAGGGCCGTTTCAGGAGCGAGAAATAAGAGAAAAAACGAAGGCACAAAAAAGGTTAAGCAAGTCCAGTTTCCCTGAAGTTTCTTTTTCTATACTCATCCCCAACCACAAGGAATAATATTTTTTTCTTGAGAAGACAGGAACATATTGCTTGTTTGGGGTTGCAGAGCTTAGAACTAACAAAATGAGAGAGCTTCAGAAAAATTATTTATGTTGCTAATCTATTTATACGTATGTATGTGCATGTGTCTACTTGGATACACATACTAGGTGCTTCATTTTGTAAGATACAATAATGGGACAACTCAGCAATGTGCCATGTGAGTGACTTTTCAAGTTTTCTATGTGATATGCCAGGTCTAATGCCAGGCAGTGGCGTACATGAAGGTGGGATGGGTTCTTCCGTTTGGGAATTAGCATTCTACAGAGGACATGGACTATATGCACAAGTGTTTATAATAATGAGAAAGAATGTGATCACCACCATATGGAAGGAAAATGCAATTATCCCAGAATTAGTAGATCCTATAGCGCAGTGGTCCTCAACATTTCTGGCCAGGGACTGGTTTCATGGAAGACAATTTTTCCATGGATAGAGGGTCAGGTGGAGGTGGTTTGGGAGGGGTGGCAGAGCTCTGCAGCCTGGTCCCTAACAGGCCACAGACTGGTACCGGGCCATGGCCCAGGTGTTGGGGACCGCAGCTGTGGCAAACTGCAGAATCTATGGTCTACTAATGCCAAGGTCGCTGTGTTTTATTAATAGCAGAGTGCATGGCCTCCCAGCCTCCCCTGTAGTGCAGTGTGGCTGCAGGACTAAATTCTGGCCAGTATCATATGAGCATAAATAGTATGTGCCACTTCCAGTTCAGGATCTTAAAAGGGAAAGCTATGAATTCACGTAGTCCTTGTCCCCTTCACTGTCTGAAATAAAGAGAACTAAAACAAATGCCTTGGATTCAACGATGAAAGCCTGAGATTAAGGATGTCAAAGCAGTCCTACCCCTGGACTGTTACAAGACAGAGAAGTAGACTTCTTTCTAACTTAAGCCACAGCGTTTAAAAACAAAATCCTGGAAGTTTTGCCTATGCCAACTAATGAATAGCTCCAGGGAGAGTGTCCCTTTGGACCCAGATCACACACCAGCTCCAATGCCTCCTCATCTGTAGACCTCTGATCTCTTGGCCTGTGCCTAGCACTTAATAACTGGTCAACAGATCTCAGATTTGTTCTAGTTCCATTTAATAAGTGGCCAATCACTCTTAGCTATTATGAGCTATTACCTCCAAATGTACATTACTGTACGTTACTGTCTATGTCCTGCTCTCCTCCCTCCACACCTGGCCTCAGGCTATTCCTTTCTGCCTATGAAGGAAATCTTACCAAAGTTTTGTCAAATTTCTGTCTGAATTCAAGGCTCACTGTAATTTGTTCTCTACAAATATTCACTGGATTTAGATAACCCTCATCTATAATAGTGCTGAATAAATGAAATCTAGCACCTTCAGACTGGAGCAGTTTCCACGTCTATAAGTCACTTTTGATAGACTTGCTATATTAGTCCAGATTCTTAAAGAAATAAAACCAGCCTCTCTGCACAGTGATGTTTTGGTCAATGATGGACCACATATACCACAGTGGTCTTGCAAGATAATAATCTCAAGTTTTTCTATGTTTAGATATGTTTGGAGACACAAATACTTACCACTGTGTTACAGTTGCCTACAGTATTTAGTACAGTAACATGGAGTACAGGTTTGTAGCCTGGGAGCAAGAGGCCATACCATACAGCTTAGGTATGCAGTAGGCCATACCATCCAGGTTTGTGTGAATACACCCTATGATGTTTACACACAATGAAATACTTTCTCGGAATGTATCTCTGTTGTTCAACGACTCATGACTGTGGGTGCATGTATAGAATAAGGAATTGGCTTACATGCTTATGAAGGCTAAGAAGTCCCACAATGTCAGCTGTCATGCTGGAGACCCAGGAGAGCCCCCACAGTGTAGTTCTAGTCCTGAAGTTGGCAGGCTGGAGACTAAAAAAAAAAGGCAATGTTTCAGTTTGCGTGTGAAGACAAGAAAACACCAATGTCTCTGCTCAGAGCACTCAGGCAGGAGGCATTCCCCTTTACTCAGAAGAGGGTTAGCCTTTTTGCTCTAGTCAGGCTTTCAAATAATTGGATGAGAACCTCCCACGTTAGCGAGGGCAATCTGCTACTCAGTCTACCAACTCAAATGTTAATTTCATCCCAAGACACCCTTATAGACACCCCCAGAATAATGTTTGACCAAATAATCTGGGCACCCCAAGGCCTAGTCAAGTTGACACATAAAAGTAACCATTATACTTGCTGAGAGCCTGGTGTTCTCAGATAAGGAAAAAGATTTAATGAGCTCCTACTGTATGCTGGGTACTCGACTGGGTGCTTTTCTTAGTCTTTGGCGAGATAGGAAATACTTTCTCCCATGTGCTGATGAGGAGTATGTGACTCAGAGAGGCTAAATAATGTGCCTAAGGTAATGTGGCTAGTTAAGTGGTAGGCTGGGAATGCAAAGCGAGGCTTCTTTGATCGCAGATCCCTGCTTCCACCTTCCTCCTCACATTCCGACCCCCTTTAATCCTCTTTCTGTTCCATCAATGTGCCACGCTTGTTCCTGCATCAGTCATTGTACCTGCTGTTCTCTCTGCCTGGGATGATGCCCTGCTCTCTGAGCCGTGCATGCCTGAAATCTTCAAATCATGCCAGTCGTTTACATGTCACCCCTCTGAGAGGTTTTGCAGAAGTAAACCATGGGACAGGAAAATAATCATTCCCTAAATTTCATGACCCTGTCCGCACAGCACATGACATTTTTATTCAATGTATTTATTTTTTGTTCATTTATAGAGGCTCCAAGAGGGTGCAGAACTTTGTCTTATTCCTAAATTATATACTCAATATATAGAACACAAGAAATATGCTAAACTACCTGCTTCAGGGATGAATTAATCAATGAAGGAACGACAAGCCCAAAGCCTCATGATCTCAATTTGACCAATCATGCCCAAAAGATGGGTCCAAAAAAAAAGATGTACTCTTAATCTTGTGTTCTACCTAATTTTTACCAAAGAATGAACATTGAGAACAAATGATTTTTTAGTATTTTTAAAGCTAAAATTGCTTTGTTTTTCAGGGTTCCTTTTTTAAAATTTTGTTTCATTATTTATTTATTTATTTATTAATTTTTGCCTTTTCATTCTGATTCAGCACCTTTGGAGGACTTATACTGGCCATCTAAAAGTCTCCACACCAGAATGGGATTTTTGGTGTAACTGGGGGAGGGGAGAGAGGCTGGAGGCAAAACAGGCCTAGAAGAGAAGAGCTTTTCATTTGCAGGCCAGAATCCTGAAAGTTAAGAAAGCCTGTATCCCCCCCAAGGGAGAGACATGGGAAAGCGGGTTGGGGAACAGCACACCGAATTCATTTTTCTCTTATCTGTTTTACCCAGTTGCTCTCAGGTGGTTCGTACACTGAGCAAAGGGCCATGGAAACCAAGCAGGACAAAAACGGTACTTAGAGCTCAGTGTGGGACATACAGCCACTTTTGTTTTATGTCAAACAGCTTACGAGGGGCTGGATGTGTTTGTAAGTGGTCATGGATTCTGCTCACCGATGAATGCGGCGTTTCGCTTTCCAAGGGCCAGTGAATGATATTCTTCATTAGGAGCCTATATTTCAGGCCTGGTATTGAATAATTACCGGACTGCTGAAAGCGTCCAGGTAGGAGTCTGCCCTCCACGACACAGCTTGGCTCATGTTTCCATCTGGGCCACTTTAAGCTCCTGTAAACAGCGCTCGTTTTCCCATTACAAGCTAGGAAGTGTGACTGTGCGGCGGCCATGGATGTGGGAGGCCTGCGAGGGAGGCCGTTTCCTCGCCTCTCGTTTCAGTTCGTAACTTGGTGGGGAGGTGGAGTAACCGCCCAAGTGCCCTGTCTTCCCATCCCATTCTGTTCCACCAACTTATCAAACAGCCAGTGACCCGCTCGAGGACCAGCGGATCAAGCAGATGTTTCCTGAGCACAGACAGAGCGCATTTCCCCTTGCACATCATCTCGCGAGAGGGCAGGGCTGGCGGGGCCCTCACCCCGTCTGACGTCATTGCGCGAGGTCGCCTGGGGGAGGATTTCAAAGCAGAGCGGCTTGGCCCAGGACGAGTTCAGCTGGCAGCTGTGTGCTGGGATTAACTGACCCAGATACCTGGGGAGAAGGAGTTGGCAATTTAAGTGTTTGTTCTTCAGCGGGAAGTAGACTGCCTCCCTTCCACTCCCTAAATATCCATGGGCTTCCGGAGATCCTCCCCAGTGACCACGCACACACGGTCAGGGTCATGTCCACGTGTGCTCCCCGTCCCAACCCCTTATTTCCCCTGACTCTTGCCTGAGATTGAAGTGAGGCAAGCCCACTTGATTGCAATGAATAATAATCATAATCATAATAACATCCACTGATCCTTCCTCCCTAAACAACATAGAGGAGCTCAAATCCTAAAAAAAAAAAAAAAAAAATCTATGATTTCAAATCATTTCTTTATAGATTCTTAGATTGTCAGATTTGAGGTGTTGAGAACCAGCAAAATAAAATAATTTTTTAAATATAGGGAAAACTGACATGGAATTGCCAGCTTCCCCATAGAAAGGTCATTACAAATAATACTAATAAATACACAAATAGACTATAGCATTTACCATCACTGTGATTTCATAAAAGAAAGGGTAGTTTAATAACCTCTTTTGCTCCAACCCATCCAGAGGATTTTCTTTATACTCATAATTAAATCCAAACTGCGGAGACCTGAAAAGTTCCCTATGACCTGGGATCTGGCCGCTGCCTGCTTTTCAAGCGCCACCTCCTCTTAGTCTTACTCCTCTCCAGCCTTCTCTCTGTTCTTCAAACACACCATGGCCTTTGCATTTGCTGTTCCCGACATCTGGAATGCTCTTCCCCCAGGTTGCATGTAGCGCCCTGTGTAGGGAAGGCAGGTTTCCGGCATGGCTCACCAGTGATCCCCATGTCCTGGTATAACACCCTTGTGTAATCTTCTCCTCTGTATGTTGGGTGGACCCAGCGACTTGCTGCTAAAGAATAGGACAGAGCAAAAGGGATGGGCTGTCAGTTATATCCAAGATTAGGCTGTAAAAAAACAGTGACTTCCATTCTTACTCAGTTTCTCCCTCTGGCTCCTCTCACTTCTTGCTTTGAGGAAGCATGTTGCCATTTGTGAGTTGCCCTGTAGAGATGCCAATATGACAAGGAAATGAGGGTGGCTTCTGGCCAACAGCCATTCAGGAGCTGAGGCCCTCAGTGCAGCAGCCTGGGAGGAACTGAATCATGCCAGCAGCCTGAGAGAGATTAGAGGCAGAACCTCCCCAGTCGAGCGTTGCAGTGACTGCAGCCTCCGAGGCTACCTTGATTGATGACATATGAGAGATGCTGAGCCAGGGGACCCAGCTAAAGCCAAGCCCAGGCTCTCGATACACTGAGAATAGAGGTGGTTGTTTTAAGCCAATAAGATTTATGCAAATAATAGATAATTAATATAATGCCTCACTTTAGTTAGGTCTCTGCTCAAATATCTTCCTCTCTAAAGTAGTCTCTCTCCCCTCCAAAACTAAGCAAACCAAACAATCACACATTATTTTCTACATTTTTGCCTTCTTCACTTTTCTCTGTAGAAATTACCATTACCTATTTCATATCATGTGTTTACTTATTAGCTGTATTCCCTACTAGACTAAAAATTCAGCTAACAACATGTCTGTCCTTTTGCTGGTGAACAAGATGGACATGTATTTGCCCCAATGCTGCTTGAGTTTATTTCACAAATCCTGATTGTAGGGCTACTACATGCCAGGTTCAGTTATTATCCGTTATTTGGTCCTGGTTCTCTAGCATCTTGGCTAATTAACTTTAGCCTGTTGGCTCTATTGGCTCAGCTGGGTTTGTTATCGCTGTTGTTTGTTTGTTTGTTTGTTTTTGAGCTAAGTCGCTCTGTTTTGATAATGTACCTTTCTATATATTTAACTGAGTGTTTGGTTAAAGTCCCATATAGGATAGAGTCAAGACTAAGAGCTTGTATATAATCTACTGAAGCCCATTGTTGAATGAACATAATTATTTGAAAAGTTCTTACTTTGCACTATGCTGAAGTCTACCTTCCTGCTACTTTCCTCTATTGGTCTTAGATTTACTCTCAGAAATAATGTGTTATAGAACATGCCTATTCTTCTCCCCAAGTCCTGTTAAACTGACTCTATTAATTCTATGTCTTTGGGTATAAGTTATCTTTGTTGAATTTATTGTCTTTAGACTTTAAAAGTCTTTATAGACTTTTCCTGGATGTTTGGTGTTTCTTTATTTTGTGCTCATCTTTGTAGTTAAGATTGCAAGTTTAACTTTCTGCTTATTTGAGAGTAGGAGTGAGGTGGCTCACTCTCCACCGTTCCCAATGGGAACAGTAGGACTCGTGGCACCATCAACCATCTCTCCAGGGTTGGCTCTGGCATCACCAGCCACCTAGGACTTGCCCTATCTCTCTGTCTCAAACTCCCACATTCACTATTCTCCGCTCAAGGCAGATTCCTCTATTTCTGTTGTAATCGTGCATTTGTGCATGTGCATGTGTGGGTGTGGTGGTAGATGGTGGTTAATCAACCTGGCTACCCTACTGCTCTCACCGGAGATACCAGAGGTATCTCTGAACACAGATCATGCTTAGTGCTCTCCCCATATTTGACAGCTGCACTTTCCACAAGTGTCCTGACCTGCAGCCTTCTCTGCAGTGTTCTCTCACCCATTTTCTCTCTATTCCTGGACCATGAAATGTAACAACTCTTATGCCCCAATCCTTGTATTTTAATTCTTATGTATATATTTGTCTGTGCAGAGTCATATTTTATATTTTTTAAATATGTAAAATGTGAATATGTATTTATATTTTATATTTATGTGCCTATGTAGGTCAGCTTATCTACCATCTTGAAACCATTATCTCTACTTCCTTTTCTATTAGCCCTTCAAATATTTGAAGAAAATTATAACATTGTCCCTTGTCCTTTCCGCCTTAGTCTAAACATTCTCACTTCTTTTAATAATTCTAATCTATAATAATCTTCTGATCCCCTTATCACCTAAAACTCTGTCCTCTATTCCTCTAGACACCTACGGTTTAATTCAATAGTGCTGTTATATATTAATAATATAGCCCCTAGAGTTAACAGGAGTACTCCAAGAACAATGGTACTATTAATGCTTGTAATCTCTCTCTATATATTTTTTTCTGTTAATGCTAAGTCTGGTTTATCTTTTTTAACCACGTGTTTTTACTACTAGCTTGTAATAACCAATTTCCTTTCCACCTCTTTTCCTAATTTTAAATATATAAACTCTGCCAAGCAACAGTTCCCTCATTCTCTACTTGTGTAATTGATCACTAACCAAAATGAAGGACTTCACCCCAATCTTTAGTGAGTTTCATCATGCCAGTTTTAACCTCTCCATGTCCTTTGATAGTATGTGCCAGCACATGCAGAAGGACTAGCTTCAGTTTCTTCTTGCTTTAGCAAACTGACAGTCCTCTGATATGTCGATCCCTGGTGAATTGTGGTTCCTTCCATTTATGGAACACTTTCCCCTCTATTATTAACTTATCAGAGAGCATACCATATTAGCTTCTGTAGCTGAACCCAATTTTTTCTTACTGGGATTATGTTATCTACTTATTCAACAAAGATTTATCAAGGGCCAACTCTGTACCAGGGACCAAGCCAAGCATTGGCTATACAGAGATAAACTAGCAAACATGACCCTTGACTGCATAGAACTTATGGTCTGGTATTTACATTTTCATAATTATGTATAGACTTAGGCTTATAATTTCTAGTGATTATGAAGTCAGGATTTTACTTTTTAAAAACAGTTCCTATCTTGATAAACCAAATATAGCAAAAATATTCATTGTAGAATTTAGGTGATGCTTCATCAGCAAACGCTCAGCAGGACCTTTTTCTATTCCTTTATTTAAATGACATATTTGAAGCTGCAAATGCTGTCACAGGAAAAGCATTTGCCACACAGGTCTTGGCGATGGGGCTGTTTGGGGTCCACATGTTGAAGTTTGTCTGGGCAGGAACATCTAGTTTTTTTTATAGTTGTGACAGGTGATATTCTCCACTCAGTAAGGGTAGTAAGACTTCGGACACGTTCTGCTGTTCTGTATATTTGAAAATTTTCCTAATAAAATGTTGGGGGAAAATTTGCCTATCCCTCATAAGCTATGTTTCTTTTCTAGTCATCAGCTATGGAATTGTATATATTCCTTTTTAAAACTCTTTGGGTTGTTTTACTTGCTTTTTATAAACTTCAGGATACCCACAGCCTCTTTCTCCCAGGGTTCCTGGGGGAAATTGTCACATAATAGAAAGAACCCTGACATTGCAGTTGGACTGATACTGAGCCTGGCACCTACTGGCTTTGTGCCTCTGGAGAAGTCTATCTTCGATCCTTGATTTTTCTCATTACGAAAATGGACATAATCATACTCACACCCAGGTTGTGAAAATTAAGTAAGATTATGTATGTAATCACTTAGCATATTTCAAGTGTAACCTGTCCCACCTCTATAACTGTATCCATCTATCTACCTTGCACCTAACTATTATTTCCTTCCCTACAAATCTGAATTTCAGTGATTAATATCCACTCATGCTTTTTTCTTTCCTTACCCTTTGAACAATTCTTAGAAACTCTGACCCCTATTGTGTTATTGGATGCCTTTGTTTAGCAAACATGGTATCAGAAGATATAGATTCATCCATCACCTTCAAGTTTCCTTTTGCTAATGTATGGGATTGATGTTAAGGAGTGACCATTCATATTCTGACCAGATAGTCTGTAACTGCTGCTAAGTTGTAAATGCTTTAGTGCCAACTCCTGACTTGATTTAACATGTTCATGTTACATGTCCTGATTGCTGTGTCTGCAATGTTATCTTCCACCTTCTATTTTTGGAGAATCTCTGTGCATCCTTGGAGAACAAGTTCAATGCTATGTCCTCCTGTGAAGGCTTCCTGACTCTCTTCCTTCACCTGTTATTCATAATGTTCCCATTGCCCCATGTCATATCTCAAAATATCTTACATAGCTTATCATTAGATGATAAGAACCATGTGGCCAGAGAAAAGAAGTCTTCCATGTTTCTATTCCTACTGTATAGGCCTGGGAACATCCAATAGACACTTGTTTGAGATAATTCATAGTCTCCTGAATGGATGAATGACTAGAGTTCATCATCCCTGGGCCTCAGCTTTCCCCTCTAGGAAATGTGAAAGATTGGCAAGTGACTTTGAAAGCCTATTTGAACACTGAAATTCTACAACTCTCAGCTTTTGTGTCATGTTACTCATCTCACATGGAGTACACCTTTATATTTCAAGTATTTGTCTTAATGCCAGAGCTTTCTGTATGGGTCAAAGGCTTCTTTAATATTAAGCAATTGGCATTTGGATGCTTCTACATTCCCTCTCTCTGACCCTTTGCTCTGATTTGCTCAGTGGCTTTGCACCAAGGGTATGGCTGAGTTCACGGATCCAGTTTCCAACATGTCCAAACAAACAAAAGTGGATCTCTCCATCCCCTTCAACTCCTCACTACTAACCCCTCTATCTCCAATATCGTCTAGTTTAGAACATTTCTTCTTCCCTGTGTCCTAAACCTCGAAAGAGGCCAAGTGGATGCACGTATCCTGGAGTATAAAGATGATGCTGGTTCTGAGTCCCACATCCTTTTATCATTCAGCTTCTGCTGAGTTTGAGTTGCCAGAAGACATTTGAATGTTCACCTTCTATGACGTTGTGATTCCCAGTGATCATTCTGAAGAGTCAGCAACACGTGGGAGGATGACAAAGCATTCCAGGGAGGGGCAAGACCTCATATTTCACCACTCTCTCCCCACCCTTGAAGTTCTCACCTGGATGAACATGTTCAACCTTCTGAGTTCTCTATGCTCTCACTTATCTCTTTCAGGCTCTCTTCAAATCCTCTCTGCCTCCCTTGCTGGCTTATTCGTCCTCTGAGGCTAGGTTGAGAATCCCTTCCTACAGAAAGAGTTTCCTGATTCCTTTGTTATAACTCTTACTACACTGTGTGGCATGGCATCTGATTATCATGTGATTTCTTTGCTGCCCCAGTGCTATCTTTCTTGTTCATTATTATCGCCCCTAGAGCTTAGCACAGTGCCTGATGTGTGATAGTTGCTCAACCTGTCTGTGTCGAAGAAATTAATGAAGATGGCAGTTTCTGCTCTCAAGAGGATTAAAATGCTACAGAATGCACAAGGTAAGTGCACAGATAACCAGTACATTAATGCTTCTCCTTTTACCACTCCCATGGATCCCATGGAGATAGCATTATTTCTCCCATTTTGCAGAAAAGAAAATGCGGCCTTAGAAGTTAGATCATTTCTCAAGTTATTCTACAGCTAGAAAGTGGCAGAATTGGATTTGAACTCCAGCCTTCC